CCCACTCGAGCAGGTCCATGTCTGTCTTACACTGAGGCCCCGGAGCTGGACACAGCACTGCAGGTGGGATCTGACCAGAGCAGAGGGGCAGAATCCCCTCCCTCGCCCTGCTGGCCACGCTGCTCTTGATGCAGCCCAGGATGCGATTGGCTTTCCGGGCTGCGAGCGCACGTTGCTGGCTCATATTCAGTTTTTCATCCACCAGCGCCCCCAAGCCCTTCTCCTCAGGGCTGCTCTCGATCCACTCGTCACCCAGCCTGTATCTGTGCTGGGGATTGCCCTGACCCAAGTGCAGGACCTTGCATTTGGCCTTGCTGAACTTCCTGAGGTTGCATGGGCCCACCCAGCTTGCTTTGAACGGTTACTAGAGCCAGCAGTTTTAAAAACCAGCAGCTAAACTAAGGCACCAAAAAACACTTCAAGGAATGAGTTACGTTGACTGTAGGAGGCTCTGAATCAGTCTGCAAATGGCTGATTAGTAAAATGTGCTGAATACTTGCACTAATTGCTTAAGTCAACAACAGATGGAGGAGTTAGCATCTGTGGCCATAAGGCCACTCCTTCATATATCCAACTTTAAACATGTACGTATGAACATTTGAGCTCAAGCTTTGCATCCCAGCTTTTCAATCAATAAAATAAGTCTTATGGAAACCCTGTTCTCACATGTCATAGTGAAAACACAATTTAATTGTTCATACATCAGCTGTGTCACAGACAACCACACATACAACCAACCACTGAACATACCCTTTCAGTAAGGGTGCCCCCTGGCAGCCCCAGCCCTCCCTTCCTGCTCTGCTTCAGCATCTCCATACCCAGCTTCCAGCACTGGGCTCCCTTCCTGACCAGCAACCCCCAAACCAGCCCCTTCACGCCTACCCAAGACCCCAGCCTCCTTACCCAGCAATCTTAAACTATATTGCTTCAGTCTTCTCCCCAAGTATCTCCTAGCCTCCCAACAGCCAAATTTTGTCCTGTTCCATATCTGGGAACAGGAGGGCAGTGCCAATGAGAAAAAGATCACTGGAATTTTCAATACAAGAAAACAATTTACTTCGTTTTTAGAAAGAACAGAACTACTTGGGGTGAAACTTTCCTTCTCTCACACACATGTGGACAAACGTAAATACATAAAAGCCCTGCGAAAGAAAATGTTTTGCCCCAGTGAATTCAAATGATACTGGAAAGATTATGCCTGGCAAAGATATTAATAACTGAAACCATTCATGAAGAAAATTTGGGATTGGAAGAAGGGGAAGGGGACCTGGGCCTAGAAATTTAGAAAGTGTTTGGACTATCTGGGAAAGAGAAATGTTGGGTAAGACAAATAGGTGCACTGCCAGTTCTGCCTGTGAGGAAGAGAAACACACGCAAAATCATCATAGAAAAACAGGTAGCTCCAGTGTTCGAGTATTAGAAAGTGACAAATGAACTAGTATTTCCCAAGAACATGATTAATGCTTTAGCGATAATTTGGAAACAAACACCCAGCAGGAGTATTCAGAAGTGCAAACTGAGGACATACATATCACTAAAATATTCTGAGTACAACACCATTTTTTTTCATTTAAGTTCTAGTTGCATCAAAACTTGTTTAATATTAATGAAATATTTAAAGAAAAGTTTTTCTCTTTTTTCTTGTGTGCTATAGTACAACAAAAGAAATGAGTTTGCTAGTGCTACATTTGAGTGTTTTGAAGAAACTAACATTATTTAATGCCAGCTAATAAATGAGTAACTGTATGTACAGTACAAATAGATAAGGATTATGTTGCCTTAATGCACAAGTAAAGAATCCATTTCTGACCATTTTCCACATGGACCATTTGCCTAATGAAATCAGCCTTCCTTCCTCTTCCAAGTACTGCTTTGTTAGATGGTTGGATGAAAACAGCCACTCTCATTACCACAATGTTCAAGCACAGCACAAAGCAAAGCCAGCCTGATGTTGAAATAATAATAAAAAAAATAATCCCATTTGATGATCTGAGCTGATCTGAACTTTGTTGCGTAGGCAAAATTGTATTAAACTCCTCATATGCTGAATTCAACAGGGATACATGTGCAGTTCGCTTGCATGCGCGCATCGAAGGCAGAAAAAGCAATGCTCCAAGACAAACAAGCTCAGAGGAAGCATTCCAGCATAAATTGTGCCCACAATCACACTGATGTACATACATAACTACTGGGAAATCCCTACGCTAGGATGGAGGGGCTACATTCTGACCTTTTGGGGCATCTGCAATATGACAGCAATGGCATTACAGAAATTCAATAGAGATGAATAAATTTCTTTGATTTCAGTCTTAGTATCTGACAGTCCATGTACGAAATTACATAGCTTTTCTCAAGTGTTTTCAGTGGACGTATTTACTTTCTTAAATTTAAAAATGAACCAACCTTCCCAGTCAGCTTCGAAAGATCATCTCCTCCCATTATCTGCATATCTTGCATAGACTGATCATTCTGAAAGAAGAAAGACCAAACTTTGAAATTGGATATAATCATATAAAAGTGTAAACATGTTAACTTTTTTTGGATCTTTCACAGTCTTGGTTACCAATATTTTCCAGTGCTCATCAGTATTAGTTTATGACAAAACCACACTTTCACTCATCCCTGTGGCTTCTATCATCCCTGGTAATATTTAAACTAACATCAAGCTCCAGGCTTTACTGAACTAGAAAAGTATGCATATTTCTTTTTAAAATAACGTTCCCTTGCTTGCTATTTCTTAATATGATAAATGTTGAGTAATGTATTTGTCCCTTTCACAACAGGAGGACAGGAGCATCTCAACACTTGACCGAACACCTATAAGCACATACTGGTTTTGGAACTATCTTTACAGACACAGACAAAATGGGCTTACACGTGTCACACACAGAGAACTCTGCTATTTTTGATGAAATTCACTCAGTACTCTTTTCAGGGGAAAAAAGTTTTGCAAAAACTATCGCTCATTATCAAGAACAGTTTCAGTGTGCCAGACAGTTTCAAGAGCTTTGGTTTTGCTTTTTCAACTAACTCAAAGATAAAACCCTTGGGGTCAATTCCATGAAATAAAATAGTGCCAAGCAGGTTGAACTAAATGTGACAGAATAGTACGCATTGATTTTTGTATTAGAAAAGGTTTTTTGGTGGTTTTTTTTTTTTAAATCAGTAAAACTTTTTTTGATAAATTTAGTTTACACACATTTCTACTTGAAATTCCTTCTGATGGAAAATTCTCAACCAGTTCTACTTCAAATTCATTACCAGCAGCACGCAAAGTTAAGATCACATAAGGGAGACATACAGAAACCCTACTTCTAAGGGAAGACAAAGGCCTTAAAAAAGGTAGCAAATTAAAAAATATACAGTCATGGCCAGGCTATACAAACTTTCCAGAGAAAGCAAGAGCAAAACCACATACAATTAATGTCTTGTTTTTTGTTTTTTTTTTTTTCCCCAAATTGGTGCATGTGCTAATCTAATCTCCGTAACTATAGGAAGATAGCCTTAGTCCAATTTTAGTAATAGCTGCAGGACCACATGACACTGTGGTCTACTAGTAACATCGGGAAGCTTTATCATTACACGCATCTGACAAAAATGCAATACTTGAACACTTTGCTTTTATTTCATAAACCCAGTGCTCTGAAGTCAAATGTTTTTCCACAAATAAATAATGAGACAGCAGGAGTTATAAGGTAGGTGAGGCTATACTAGGCTCTTATATACTGGGTTTATAGCTCTTCCCCTCAAGAAGCAGCACAGCAGAGGTAGCACACCTGTGCCTGCCACGCAGCACAGCTACAGCTGCACGCCTGGAGGTGGAAACTGCATCTGCCCAAGCGGCAGAAGTCCAGAGACTTCCAAGGCACCTTTGCAGCCACTTGATCACAAGCAATCTGACAACCCCAGGAACTATTTGTGGTCCCCATGGGAACAGATTGTCTAAATTAATACAGCTTTCCTGAGTAACTCTAAGGTTGCAGAATTGCCCAGATGACAATGTCTCTAGGTTTGCATACCGCAGACCCACCAAAAGGCTCCCATTACTCAGACTCCACTCCCTCAAACGCTCTCACATCACAGCTTTGTAAGAGGTCCTCAGCAGTCATTGCCTTAAAATACAGTTTTTAGAACTGCCTTCACTTTTTCTAAACCAGATCTAGGAGCTTTCAATCCTTTTCATGCTGCTCTGCTTTGTTTCCTGGGAAACAGAGCTAGAACAGGAATGAAGGTTATATCCCATATGTTTTCTAATATAAGTTTCAACATTTCTCTTATTTTTGAAGGAAAAACAGAAAGAAAAAACAGAGCAAGCAACTTATTTCCTCAGAAGATTATTTTAAAACTAAATAAAAAGTAGAGCTAGAGAAGATTAAGCTCAGGCTTAAAAGCATAAGCCTTTTGTTGTAGAGCAAGACAGGTCACTTCAAAAGTCAGTGACACAGTCAGGTCAGGACTATTATAAGACTATAAAAACGAGATAGTTTAATATCTACCATGACATGTGTAACCAAGACAGCGACAAAATATTTTTTCATTTCCAAATGAGAAAGTCTGGAATTTCATTAATAACCAAGACATAAGAACTACTGAAGAGGCAGTCTGCCCTTAGTTGCCAGTTGAAAAAGAGAGGAAAAAAGATAACAGTGAGGTGCAATGACTAACAAATTTATTTATTTTTAACTAAAATAAAAAACTCTTTCAGCAATCTTCACAGCAGCACTGTTTGCTTTGCATTTGGTATTTCTGGCTCCAGCTGAAAGGAAGATGATGAAATAGCATCTTCATTGCTGGCAAGCAGTTAAGCAAACACAGAAGTCATTGAGAGCTGGGGATCACAGCATCCCATCAATCTGCATATTCACACATTGGCTGTTGTGGCACAACTGCACACAATTATGAAAATCCCCATATTCTGACAATTGCTGTCAGAAGACAGGGCTGAGAATTCACTGTGCCTAAATATCATACAGAAAAATGCAGCTCAGAACCCTCCAGCCAAGGTGCTTTCAAGAAATTTAAAGAAATTACTTGCATCATGCAGTAAAGCAATTCTCTTGCAAAAAAAAATCAGACCATTTATTTTAATGCCATCTATAACTACCTCTACATTCATCAATTAACTCATATTGTAAAATACATACTTGCCAAACAGCAAGACTGAATACCACAATGTCACATTACTGTAATCATAACATTCATATAGATAAAGTGGACACTATGGTTGCCATAGGAACCTCTCTGTGTCGTCCCCCCACCCCAAGTTCTCAGTTTATAACCTCAAAAATAACACTGTGTTAAATGTTAAGTGTAAAGTACAATAAATGTCAGGAAAGAAAAAAAAATAAATCTGTTTCATTCAGTACTGATTGCTGTTGATTCAGAACTGCTTGTTTAATTTTCATGGTCTCAAGTCATTCAGAGCTTCTTTTTCCTTTGGGAGTAGTTCCATACCTTGACAAAACCAAGACAACTGAGTCTCTTGTACTTCTTATAAATGCAGGGACATGAATTAAGAGTTCACTTTGGGTCACCCAAAGTTCCTCAATACTTGCTTTCTAACATCACTAAACCAAATCAACACAATTTTTGCTGTTAAATGCTTGACAACAAATATGTCTCAGACAGAGACATATTAAAATTGCACTATGTTTTGGTTAATGCAGCACAAAATTTATTGCAGCTGTTTCTAACGTGACGATGCATTGTATCACATCCATACACCTCATCCCAAGCTATATTGCATTTTAATTTTTTCTGTTTAATAAATCTGCATTTTCCAGGATAAATGTCAACTTATTTTACTTGCTGTGTTGTGCTTTTACACCTGTTCATCTTTGGTTTATAATTTTATTTCATTCAGACCTTGTCAATATACATCTTCAGATCCTATGAATACTTGATGGATGAAAGCAAGAAGGTTGCTATTTCCACGGCATGCAAGATAAAACTTCAACTTTCTACACTGTCTGGAAACACAGATATTTAAATTCCATCTATACCAAGTCATGTCTTTTGAACGGGGTGGGAAACAGAATTATTACATCTTTTTTATATCTCCTGAGATCAACAGTTGGACAAAATTGAAGTCACAAGTGAAATGAGTTGGGTGGTCTCAGGAAAATTTATTATAAACAGCATTGCTCATCTGAAAATTGCACCAAACTGTGAACATCTGTTACTCTTCTAAAGAAACAGAATCTGGAGTACATTAATACTGGGATCAGTGAAACAAAGATTCTTTAATCATGGCAAAAAAAGTAGCTTTAACATAACAGTTTAAATGCATAACAGTTTAAATGCATAACCAAATTATGAAATATGGACACCAGCTCATCATCACATCTAGTTACCATAGTCTCCAGAGTTCGTATGGAATTTCTTCAAAAAAATGCAATTACCTTTTTCTCCCGAAATTCATCAGGGAAACTCTTAACAAAGAAGGATGTGACCATCAGGCCTGTTCTGCTTTACTTTCTGCCACCTGGGTGATATAGCAGATCTGCCAACCTGAGGATTTCTAGGAGGACAGGTCTCTCACTTCGCACCACCATCCCACCTCCTACAACTGGGTTTTCCAGGAAGGTTTTGGCCAAAAAGAAGTGATTGACAGACCATCACTTCCAGTTCTCCCTCGGAACCTCAAGCCGTTGAATACAAAGCATGTCTATGGCTTCCCCAATAGCTAAATGAAATGGTTACCACAGAATTACTGCCTGTAAGGTTTCTGACTTATACCCACAATTGGCAGAGTTTGAAAAGCAAGAGTCAAGCAATAAGTTTGGCGCAACATGTCCACTAAAGCAGAGTAGAGTTCAGTCTCCACATTCACTTTGGCTTCACCTTTTTATTTTCCATTAAGACTGTCATTAACTGCATGTCATCTATGCTGCCTCTGTTCTCATAGGGTGACCCATGACCTTGAAATGTCTTCATTAAAGACAGGATTACTCTGTTCCTAATTTAGGTATCTGAAAATTAAGACATCTAAATCTACGCATCCTGGGTTCCCTTCATAACCAACGGAGAAAACAAAATAAATCATCTGTTTCACCATATGGGAAATCTACAGCAAATAACTTACATCAAGACACCTAACTGTGAGAAATCCAAAGTTAGGTGAGATGAATTCCAGCTTAAGAGATGAGATCAATATTTTCTTCCTAAAAACCTCACTGAGCACTCGGAAAGAAATTATTTTCAATTGCATTTCCCACAGGCATATAAGAAGTAATGATCTTGACTGTTTTCCATTAGTAACACCCTGAACTATCCACTCTGGCTCCGTCTCAGACAAATGTTTAACACAATTCTCCTTGTACTACTCCAGGATGATTTGCTTGCATGTTTACTCAAAGGTTTCATTTTAAGCTAGGTGAAATATATTTAAGACATTTGAAGAGATACAACCAATCTAGTATTTCTTCCAACTTATGTAATGAAAAAACTATTAGGAACCAGTCTTTCCA